AAAACGTTTTAAAATCCTATAAAAACCCTTTAAAGCCCTTTAAAAACCCTTTAAAAACCCCTTAAAAACACTTCAAAATCTATAAAAACCCTATAAAGCTCTTTAAAACCGCTTAAAAACCTTTAAAAATGTTTTTAAATCCTATAAAAACCCTTTAAAGCCTTTTAAAAAAAGACCTCTAAAGCCCTTTAAAACTCCTTTAAAAAGCTTTTAAAACCCTATAAAAACACTTTAAAACCTTTTCAAAACTCTTTAAAGCCCTTAAAAACCCTTTAAACCCCTTTAAAACCCTTTAAAAACATTTTAAAATCCTATAAAAATTTATTTATTTATTTATTAATTTATTTAAAGCTCTTTCAAACCCGTTAAAAACCCTTTAAAAATGTTTTAAAATCCTAAAAAAACCCTTTAAAACCCCTTAAAAACCCTTTAAAAACGCTTTAAAATCCTATAAAAACCCTTTAAAAACCTTCAAAAATGCTTCAAAATCCTATAAAAACCTTTTAAGGCCTCTTAAAACCCCTTAAAAACCTTCAAAAACGTTTTAAAATCCTATTAAAACCCTTAAAAACCTTTAAAAATGTTTTACAGTCCTATAAAAACCCTTTAAACACCTTTAAAACCCCTTTAAAACCTTTTAAAACCCCTTTAAAATCCTATAAAAACCCTTTAAACCCCCTTTAAAACCCTTTAAAACCCCTTTAAAACCTTTTAAAAATGCTCTAAAATCCTATAAAAACCCTTTAAAGCTCTTTAAAACCCTTTAAAAACCCTTTAAAAATGTTCTGAAGTCCTATAAAAACCCTTTAAATCCCTTTAAAACCCCTTAAAAACCCTTTAAAAGCCCTTTAAAAACCCTTTAAAATCCTATAAAGATCCTTTAAACCCCTTTAAAGCCCCTTAAAAACCGTTTAAAAATGCTTTAAAGTCATATAAAAACCCTTTAAATGTCTTTAAAACCCTTTAAAAACCCTTCAAAAAACATTAAAATCCTATAAAAACCCCTTAAACCCCTTTAAAACACCTTAAAACCTTTTAAAAATGCTCTAAAATCCTATAAAAACCCTTTAAAACCCCTTAAAAATGCTTAATAATCCTATAAAAAAACCGTTAAACCCCTTTAAAACACCTTAAAACCCTTTAAAAATGTTTTAAGATCCCATAAAAACCCTTTAAAAACCCTTTAAAAACCCTTTAAAATCCTATAAAAACCCCTTAAACCCCTTAAAAATTTCTTAAAAACCTTTAAAAATGCTTTAAAGTCCTATGAAAACCATTTAAAATCCTTTAAAACCCCTTAAAAACGTTTTAAAATCCCATAAAAACCCTTTAAAGCTCTTTAAATCCCTTTAAAAACCCTTTAAAATCCCGTAAAACCCCTTTAAAACCCTTTCAAAAACCTTGAAAAACCGTTTTAAAACCCTTTTAAAAAAAACCTTTAAAACCTTTTCAAAAACCTTTAAAAAACACTTCAAAACTCTTGAAAAAAAACTTTTAAAAATTGTTTTAAACTCTTTATAAAACCCTTTAACGACTTTTAAAAACTCTGTTTAAAAAGCCTTTAAAAACACTTTAAAAAATCCTTTAAAACTCTTTAAAAACCCTTAAAAACACTTTAAATCACTTTAAATAATTCTTTAAAACCCCTCTAAAACCTTCTTGTAATTCCTGTTAAAAATCTTTTTAAGGACCCTTTAGAACCCTTTAAAAACGTTTAAAAAACTGTTAAAATTCTTTAAAAAATCCTTTTAAAAACCTTTTTTAAAAACTCTTTAAAAACCCTTTAAAAATTCTTTAAAACCTTTTAAAACCCTTTAAAAAAACCCTTTTAAACCTTTCACAAAACCCCTTTAAAAACCCTTAAAATCCCTTTTAAACCTTTTTAAAAAACCTTTAAAACCCCTTTAAAAACCCCTTTAAAAACCCTTTAAAAAATCTTTTAAAAATCTTTTAAAATACCCTTTAAAACCCTTTAAAATGTGACTTAAAACCCTTTAAAAACCCTTTTTAAAAACCCTTTAAAACACCTTTAAAACCCTTTAAAAACCTTTTAAAGCTCTTAAAAAAAAAACTTTAAAACCCTTTAAAAACCGTTTTAAAAACAGTTTTTAAAACCCTAAAAAAAACTTTAAAAGCTTTTAAAATTTTTTAAAAATCCTTTTAAAAACCTTTTTTAAAAACTCTTTAAAAACCCTTTAAAAATTATTCAAAGCCTTTTAAAACCCTTTAAAAAAACCCTTTTAAACCTTTCACAAAACCCCTTTAAAAACCTTTTTAAACCCTTTTAACAAACCTTTAAAACCCTTTAAAAAAATCCTTAAAAAATCCTTCTAAAACACCTTTAAAACCCTTTAAAAATCTTTTAAAACTCTTAAAAAAAAACATTTTAAAACCGTTTTAAAAACCCTAAAAAAAAGCCCTTTTAAACCCTTTTAAAAAACCTTTAAAACACCTTTAAAAAACCTTTAAAACCCTTTAAAAAACCCTTTAAAAAACCCTTTAAAACCCGTTTTTAAACCCATTTTAAAAACCCTAAAAAACCCTTTAAAACCCTTTAAAGAAACCCTTTAAAACCCCTTTTTAAAAACCCTTTAAAACCCTTTAAAACACCTTTAAAACCCTTTAAAAAAAACCTTTTAAACCTTTCACAGAACCCCTTTAAAAACCCTTAAAATCCCTTTAAAACCCCTTGGTGGTGGGGATCCCCCCAAAAATGGGTCTGGGGGGACCCCCAAGCCCCCTCAAAAATCCCCCCAAAATCCCTCTAAAATTCCCCAAAAATCCCTCAAAAATTCCCCAAAATTCTGCCCCAAAATCCCTTAAAAATCCTCCAAAAATCCCCCCAAAATCTCTCAAAAATCCTCCAAAAATCCCCCCCAAATCCCTCAAAAATCGCCCCAAAATCCCTCAAAAATCAAAAAAAATCCTCACCAAAATACCTCAAAATTTCCCCAAAATTCTGCCCCAAAATCCCTTAAAAATCCTCCAAAAATCCCCCCAAAATCTCTCAAAAATCCTCCAAAAATCCCCCCCAAATCCCTCAAAAATCGCCCCAAAATCCCTCAAAAATCAAAAAAAATCCTCACCAAAATACCTCAAAATTTCCCCAAAATTCTGCCCCAAAATCCCTTAAAAATCCTCCAAAAATCCCCCCAAAATCTCTCAAAAATCCTTTAAAAATCCCCTTAAAAATCCCTCAAAAATTCCCCAAAAATCCCCTCAAAAATCCGCCCCAAAATCTCTCAAAAATTCCCAGAAATTCCCTAAATATTCCCCAAAAATCCTAAAAAAAATCCACCCCAAAATCCCTCAGAATTTTCCCAAAATTCTGCTCCAAAATCTCTCAAAAATCCTCCAAAATTCCACCTCAAATTCCCTTTAAAATGCCTCAAAAATCCCCCCCAAAATCTCTCAAAAATCCTTTAAAAATCCCTCAAAAATTCCCCAAAAATCCCCTCAAAAATCCGCCCCAAAATCTCTCAAAAATTCCCCACCCTGCCGTGCTTCCCACCTCTTAAAAGGGCAACACCGCGCCGACGCCCTTAAAGGGGCCGCGCGCATTTCGGGGGGTCCCGGGGCGTGGCTGGGAGGGGTCTCCAGGTGACGCCGGCCCCGCCCCCGGCGCAGGTGAAGATCCAGGGGCAGAACAAGGAGATGCTGGCGGCCGCCTGCCAGATGTTCCTGGGCAAGTCGGAGAGCGAGATCGGCCAGATCGCCCTGGAGACGCTGGAGGGCCACCAGCGCGCCATCATGGCCCACATGACCGTGGAGGTGGGGCTTGGGAGGAGCCACGCCCACTTTCCGGGAAGCCACGCCCCTCACAAGGCAGCCACACCCACCTGGGATCCAACCAAAACCTTCCCAAACTTGGGGTGGGATGTGGTGCCTTTAAGAGATGGCTCAGAAGCCACGCCCTGAAAGGTGGCCACGCCCACATGGATGGACACGCCCCCTTGAGGAACCGGTCTCCACCCCCTTTGGGATGGGGTGTGGCCCTTTAAGAGACACCTCCCCCATTTGACCCATGAACTCTGCCACTTGAGAAGCCCCTCCCCCTGTCCAGGCCACGCCCACTGCTGAAACCACACCCCCAAATGCTGCATTTTGCTTAAGCTCCGCCCACTGCACAAGAATCTCATTCCCTGGCCCCGCCCCTTTTAAGCCCCGCCTCTCCCATAGGCCCATCCCCCATTATAGGCCCCGCCCCTGCTCAAAGCCACGCCCAACCGACCCCACCCTGTGCCTCAAGCCACGCCCCCAGGGTCAAGCCACGCCCCCTGGCAATTCGGGCACTGGCCCCACCTTAGGCCACGCCCACCTGGCTCCACCCCAGCGCTTAAGCCACGCCCCTTTGGCTCATCCCCAGCCCCTGAGCAGAGCACCAGGCTCAAGCCACACCCACAAACACAAACCACGCCCATCGGGCCACACCCCTTCAGGAAAGCCACGCCCACCCCAGCCCCACCCACTCCTAAGCCACACCCACTGAATCAAGCCACACCCACCGGATCAAACCATGCCCAGCTGGCTCCACCCCCTTGGTTCAATCCACACCCCTTTAACTGAGCCACGCCCACCTGGCCCCACCCATCCCCCAAGCCACGCCCACTTGGTTCAAACCACGCCCCCTTAACCCTGATATCAATCTTCTTAAGCCACGCCCCAGTTTCAAAACCACGCCCCCAGCACAAGCCACGCCCATCAGCCCCCTGCCCTTTCTCTGCTAAGCCCTGCCTCCTTTTGGCCCCGCCCCTTTCAGCTCCACCCAGATAAGTCCCACCCAATTTAAGCCCCACCCCTTGGGCCTCACCCTGCTAAGCCCCGACCCCACCACACCGAGCCCCACCCAATTTTAGCCCCACCCCTTTGGGCCCCTTCCCAGGAAGCCCCGCCCCTTTGACCCCCACCCTGTTAAGCCCCACCCCTTTGAGCCACGCCGTGCTAAGCCCCGCCTCTCAAGCCCTGCATGGTCAAGCTCCACCCCTTCAATCCACACCCTGTTAAGCCCCGCCCCTTTGAGCCCCAGTCTAAGCCCCGCCCCTTTGGCTCCTTCCCTGCTAAGCCCCGCCCCTTTGAGTCTCACCCTTTCAAGCTTCGCCCCCTTGAGCCCCACCCAGTTAAGCCCCGCCCCCTTGAGCCCCACCCTAAGCTCGTTTCAGCCCCTTCTGCTAAGTCCCGCCCCTTTTAAGTCACACCCTGCTAAGCCCCGCCCCTTTGGGGGTCTTCCCTACTAAGCCCCGCCCCTTTTGTCACACCCTGCTAAGCCCCCGCCCCTTTTAAGTCACACCCTGCTAAGCCCCGCCCCTTTTGGGTCCTTCCCTTTAAAGCCCCGCCCCTTTAAAGCCCCACCCTTTTCAGCCCCACCCCTTTGGGTTTGTCCTTGCTAAGCCCCGCCCCTTTTCAGCCCCACCCTGCTAAGCCCCGCCCCCGTGACCCCTGCCCCACTCAATTTAAACG